ACCAGAATTAAGAGAAAGAAATATTTTATTGTTTTGTAGCCTACAGAGTGAAAATTCTTCTCGTGATTCATGGCATGCGCACGTTTTACTGACGTCACGACAGTACAAATTGCAACGTTAAGCGTCCCTTATGTAACTGACTGACAGAAAACATATATTTCGGGAAAATTAACCTGAAACAGCTCAGAAATAGACATGGTGCAGGTACAGATCCGATTCCTCCAATGATGAAAACAGCAAAAAACAAATGTAAGTTTTGATACATATTTATCTTGTAGTTTGGCCACTCTGCTGGTCATCAAAGCCTATCATAATGTGAAGGTAACAATGACTTGTGTATGTATGTAAACTATTTCGTGCTTGGTTTGTTTGTAATTAAGCACAAAGCTACACAATGGGCTAACTGAGCTCTGCCCACCACGGGTATCGAAACCCGGATTCTAGCGTTGTAAGTCCGCAGACATGCCGCTGTGCCACTGGGTGGGCTTCGTGCTTGGTACAATATAAGCATATATTTAAACCCAAAGTAAAAAAAAACTATGTATTATCCCACTTCACCAAAATTATTGATTCATGACATTTACAACATAAATATGTCGGTTAGAATTTTACTTTGTGTAAGTGATTATAAAACACAATTGAAATTTGATCTAAAGAAACCTATAAATGTCTTGTCATGTCTTTTAGTTACGAAATATATAGAGCTCAATATTAACAACCGCCAGTGTGAAAAATAAATAAGAGTTATTGAAGTTTCAACGGCGATCGTGTGTTTGGTTATTTCATAATGAAAGATACATCATTACGATTATACGTTATACTTCTTAAGAATTGGATATGTTAATGAACAAACTTGAAAATACCATTAAGATATATAAGGACCACTTCGACAACAACAGAAAGTTTGTTCTCTAGCAAAACGACATATTTTTGTCTTCTGAAAAGACAACGTACAAAAGTAAGAATCAAAATTTGTCTGTTTTAGCGCAAAGCTACGCAATGAACTAACTATGTTGTACCCACTACAGGGATCGAACCATAAGTTTACTATTAAGTTCAGTGCACTTCTACTATTATCAAAAGAGCCGTTGGGTGAATTACACTACAAATGTTTTAACTATCTTCCAATTGTGTGCTATTTTTTAACCGGATGTGGGCTAGTGGTCATGAAGCGAAAGCTCTATAATTATTATTTTTATGAATAGCCTTTAGCCTAAAGTTACAGACGGATAATCTTAAAGAAATAAACAAAGTATCATGTTGAGATTTAACAAATAATAAATATGCATTTTAATCAAGGTTTGTTTGTTTGTAATTAAACACAAAGCTACACAATGGGCTATCTGTGCTCTGCCCACCACGGGTATCGAAACCCGGATTCTAGTGTTGTAAGTCCGCAGACACTGGGGGGGGGCGCATTTTAATCAAAAGAAAAGCAACACTGAATAAAGACGACAATAGTAGAAGATGAAGAATATAAATAAACTGTCATCCTAATTGGAGGTTTGGACCAGCTACTATTGAATGACCTTTAACGATGCCAAATAATCTGTTATTAACGTAATGGAAACAGAACTAACAAAATGACACGTGTGGTACATAAAAGTTTTTTTTTTGTTGTTGTTGTCTTAAAACACTATTGGCCCTTATAACTGCTACAAAATCACTTGTTTGTGCATAGCAGTTTAATTTAAGACGAGACGACATATAACTCCCCTTTAATACATGCACAACTTTTGTTATTTCTTCTTACAATTATAATACTATAATTTCAATGGATGTTTGTTTGTTTGTTTTGGAATTTCGCGCAAAGCTACACGAGGGCTATCTGGCTAGCCGTCCCTAATTTAGCAGTGTAAGACTAGAGGGAAGGCAGCTAGTCATCACCACCCACCGCCAACTCTTGGGCT